AATTATATAATATAAATTTTAAAAATTAATATATTAAATTTATTAATTAATATAAATAATTAAATTATATTTATAAAACAAGTATGAAAAATAATTTATTTTAACTTATAATTTTTTTAGTCAAATATATATTTTAATTAAAAGTATTTTAAATTAAATTTTAAAAATAAAAATATATTTTTAATTCAACCAATTCTACGCATTTTTTTTACCAGTTCAATCATCGCAAAACCATTTTTTGACTAATTAAACCAATTAAAAATTGATTTTTGTTAGAGAATCGAATTAATCAATCGGTCTGATAAACCATAATTACGATTCTTATATGTGAAACTTTTATCCCTATTATTTCTATTTCATTTAGAAGTGTGTTTGATTAAAAGGAAAATTGAGGAATTTTTAATGGAAGTAAATAAAATTTCTCCTTATTTGATTTGTAAGGGAGACACATATATCATAAGTTGCATATTATTTTATTTTTAGAAATATTAATAAAAGACGCGTGAGTTAAAATAAGATTTTATGACAATTTAATTTTTATAATTTTTTATTATCAAGATTTAGTTTTTTAAAATAAAAAATTTTCCTTTTTTTTCAAGTCTCTTTAATACTGAAGAATAGACAAAAGGCATGAGAAATTTCAACTCTTTTATTTCTTATTTTTTAAAATAGGTCAGTCTTCTGTTATCCTCCATTTCCCTCATTAAACATTATATTTTTTAAAAAAGGTTTATAGGATTAATACTAAGCAAAATAAAAGCATTATATGTTTTTTAGTGTTTACTGTGGCCAGTGGACAAGAGAATTTGCAAATATATTTATTTTCCATATAAGAGAACACGAAAAGGAAAATAATGAATAATGAATAATGAATTTACAAAATATAGAGTATACTATATACAATAATTACGTGATAAGGCGATACGTGCTTGCCAGCTTTACTCGGCAATGGTGGCAACATATTTAGTGATGAACCCATAATATATTATTATCAAAAATTAAAAATTGGCCAAAAGGGGTTGATTGCACATCCTTTTAGCTTTCTGGGTAGGAAGAATTTTGCGAGAAAAGATTGATTGGGAAAAAAGATGGTGTTGGATCCAAAGCTGGTGCTGGTGGTGTTCATCAGCACCTGCATTCTGGCCATCAATGGAGGCACAGATCCAAATGACGGTTAGTGTCTTCTTTGATTACACTCTCAACTGTGCACTTTTCATCTCTCTCTCTCTCTGTCTGTTGCATTCTGCTACTGTTACTCTGTTAGTTAAGACTACCACTGTTTTTTGTGTGTTTTTGTTTGGTTTTCAATCAGGTTCTGTGGACAACTCTGTCAATTACTCAGCAGATTAGTTTGATTTGGCCTGTGTGTTGTGTTTGGTTTTATTGTCTTTTGAATCATTGTGAAGTTTTCCAGCTGATCTCTTCAGTGGCACATGTTTAATTTTGTTGTCCTGAAATGTTACTGTTTACTCAGATTGATAGGGTGAAATATGCTTTGTCTATGATTTCAGCTAATGAAGGACTTTATAATATATGTATATATATTATTAGTTTTGTTTAAGCTCTGTGTTCTGTGCGTGCTATGTAGCCGGTTGATTCAATTCTCACTTCATTACTGTAGAGAATGTTGTCAACGAACGAGGATTGATCGAACATCAAGAAGTTGACGTAATATTCAGTTACCATTTTCTTATATTTTTTTCTTGAAGTATAGTTGAACAAATTTCCAAGTTCCAAAAAGGGAGATGCCCGTTATAATAATGTCCACTCGAGCTGCACAAAAACAAATTGCAACAGCTGAGTGGGACCCTTGATCTTCCACTTTAGTTCCCTTCCATTTACTTGTTGTCTTCTATATTGCTGTGTTTTCCTTTTGATGTTCAAATTTTTCCTCCTTGTATTATGATGTCTAATGAATTAATAAAAACATGGAAATTCTATGAGAAGATTTAGCTACAGAGATTGCAGTTCCATCTTGCTTCTGTTCTCCCTTAGGGACTAAATGTAACAGTCTTAGTAAAGCAGTAGACCTCATGTGATTGACTTCTTGGGCTGTAAAAGGCCCACCATTCTCTGGCTGCTCTCCATCCTTTGTAGAAGGTCTCAGCATGCATTTGTATCAACAGGTTGATTGCTTTATTGCCAATGACAGTAACCTTGGACAATGTTAGCTGCATTTGTGCCTAATTCCAGAATTATAGTCAACTCTGTTCTTGGCTTTATATAATGAATTTTGACCTGCCATATTTCTGATGAGATTTGAAGTATAACATAGTAATTGAGACAACACCACTAGTATGCAGGATTCTATCTTGACCTATATGCTATTTCTGATAGGCTCTAGCAATTTATTTAAGGTTTGAGAATGCTTGCATGGAATAAATAAACTTGTTTTTCTGATTTTTGCATCTTGTTATTCATGTCAGATGTAATCCTATACTTATTTTTGTTCTTGTTTTGTTATCAACATCCACATACTTAACTTGCTCTGCTTTGGGACACTTTGAATATATAAAATGTGTGTTTGGTGTACATCTGATATTAAATTTTCTACTAAACCCCAAGGACGAACTCTTGTTAATTTAAACATGTTATGATTTAAATTACTTGCATATTTTCTCTGATTTGGTAAGTGGCTAGGTGATGTGAATAGGTTTTCTTCATGTTCTGTAGTCAGTAATATTATTTTTCATGAACTCCAATGCACCCATTAAGGATGTAAAGTCAATATCATGAAGAATCAATTATGAAATCTTCAATGAGAACATTTTCTGCATTCATGCTGAGAAGATCAATGATTAATTTGTTCACTTATGCCTAGAAGTGATAAAATCTATATAATAGGTTCAGTAGTTGGCAAGTAGTGTACATATCTTAAAATATGTGAAAAGGATGGTTGTACAGATGCAGACTGGCATTAACGTAATAGAAATTTATAATACAAATTTCTATTTTACACATCTGGGGTTTACTAACTATCCTTTTCTGAATGTCTGATGCAGTGGCTTCTCTAAAGGGTATGTATCAAAGTATGAACTCGCCAACCCAACTAAATTGGAATGGTGATGATCCTTGTGGACAGTCTTGGCAAGGCATTACTTGCTCTGGCAATCGTGTAACAGAAATGTGAAGTCACAATCTCCCTTTCACTTTATATGACTTGACTGTTATAGTTTTAGGTGCTGATTCTGATGATTATTCATTTATTTTTCACTTCATATCAGTAAGTTACCTGGTCGTACACTAACCGGATCTTTGGGTTACCAGCTAGAACCCATGACATCTGTGACAAACCTGTAAGTTAGTAGTCTTATACTCTCATTCATCATATAACCAGTTTTATATGTATTGTTATGATTCTTGTGACCTTTCAAAATTCTGTAGAGACCTGAGTAACAACAATCTTGGTGGCACCATACCATACCAACTTCCTCCTAATCTGCAGTACTTGTATGTTTCCATATTTTTTATTACTTTTTTGGTTTAGTTTTGTTCTGATACAATTTATGAATTTCTAACATTCATGTTTCTTTGGATGCAGAAATCTTGCAAATAATAATTTCAACGGGCAAATCCCTTATTCTCTTTCTGATAAGACTTCTCTTATAGTCCTGTGTGTAATCATCTTCTTGACTTCTTGTACACTTTTTATTGTATAAACCTCCTTCACACTGGACTCATTTTTTAAGTTAATCTTGATAATGTAGGAATCTTGGTCACAATCAGCTCCAGCAAGGAATTAATGTTGATTTTCAAAAGCTCTCTTCTCTCAACACATTGTGAGATTCCTCCTGCCCTTCAACAATATAAAAAGTAGTCTGGATTACTATCAAGTTTATGTTAACTATGAAATATTGATCTTTTCATTTTCAGTCTGATTTTATGCTCATTGTGGTGGATTGATTTTCATTTTGCATTTCGTAATTTCACAATATTACTTCTCATCCCATCTTTAAGACAATTTATACTATTATTCTGCGAAAAATGCTCCATATACATTGACTATTGCATTATATTCCACTGCATATGTTTCTTGTAATTTAAAAACCCGCCTTTTTGTTATAAGTATCAAATGGAGGCTATGCTATTTCATTTTTGAAGTAAAGTATGCTAGAATTTGGTTTGGTGACAATTCAGGGCAGGTGACTATAATATCTATTATTTGTTGCAGGGATCTATCGTTCAATTCTTTGTCAGGTGACCTGCCTCAGACTTTGAGCTCACTTTCAAGCATAAGCACCATGTATATGTCTAATTTTTCATTTTTTACTGCTAATTTTTCATGGTATTGAAAATGATTGCATTCTTAGTTGACTTGTTCACATTTATGTAGGAATCTGCAAAGCAACCAATTTACAGGCACCATTGATGTCCTTGCTAATCTGCCTCTTGATAATCTGTACGTCTCTGTTTCATATAACAGCAGTGGAATACCCTTTCGTATATTTCAATAGAAGTACCTTTTCAGTTGTCTTTATGTTCTTAAATTTTTCTCAGGAATGTGGAAAACAATCATTTTACCGGCTGGATACCAGAACAATTGAAAAATATAAACCTACAGTATGTATTTCCATCATCAGCAATTTTGGTAAGAATCAGTTTTTCATCATGAATTCTATAAAACTTGAAAATGGTCAAATTTAATGACAGGAAGGATGGTAATGCATGGAGCTCAGGACCTGCACCCCCACCTCCTCCTGGGACACCTCCAGTAACAACAAGAAACCGAAATCACAAATCTGGCGGCCATACCACATCAGATGGTGACTCAAATGATGGCGGAGACAAAAAATCTGGTATAGGCGGTGGTGGCATTGCTGGAATAGTGATCTCCATCCTGGTTGTTGGGGCAATAGTAGCATTCTTTCTGGTGAAGAGGAGATCCAAAAAGTCATCTAATGATGTTGAAAAGCTTGACAATCAGCCCTTGGCTCCTCATACTTCAAATGACGTGCATGGTCTGCATTTTGTTCTTGCATACTATTGAAAAATTGTTTCCATTCTTTCATTATGAGGTCTCCTTATTTTAGCTCACTTGTATAGTTGTATATATTGTATTTCAATTTTTTAGGTTCACCCTTCAATCTTCCAAAACCACCTTCTCTGTTGGCAGATATGCTTAACCATGAAAGGCTTAATTCTGCTATTGATAAATGAATTTTGCGATTCAACCTATAATATTGGCAGATAATCTGTTTTTTAACTGTAAGGCAAGTAGGTAGCAATTACTTCAACATTTTTTTTCAGGGACAGAGGCATGTTTGGTACCTTGGCTGTGGCCACACTAGAGAAAGTGAATTTTTGTTATAATCAGTCAAGCCAAACTGCACCACTAATTAAAAATGACTAGGCTGTCTACATTTCTTTCTCCGATTGGAAAGGACTGCCTTGTCTTACTGCTTTCAATTTACTGTTTAGTTGTGAAGCCATTCTGCTTTCACTTATTGTTCTGATTGAAATTGACATGTTAATATCTGTCATAATGCAGAAATGAATTCCATGCAAACTTCATCGGTTATTGACTTGAAGACATTTGATACAACTTCGGCCCCAATAAGCCTTAAACCTCCACCTTTTGATCGTCACAAATCATTTGATGAAGATGAGTTTTCAAAGCAGCCCCCGGTTGTAGTCAATAGGCCCATTACAGTCAAGAAGACTGTCACAGCTCCTGCAAATGTAAAATCATATTCTATAGCTGACCTACAGATTGCTACTGGAAGCTTCAGTGTGGATCAGCTTCTTGGAGAGGGGTCTTTTGGTCGTGTGTACCGTGCTCAATTTGACAATGGAAAGGTATTTCTTACCTGTTTTTGCTGCAAATACACCTCTATATTTAATACTGATGGCAGATATTTAATTTCAAAATATTATCATGACATTATGTAATTTTTCCTAGAAAGGTGTCAAATCTGAATTATTTTTATACTGAAGTGCATGAGTGCTTGTGTAATGATGTTTCTTTAAAGTCCTATGACTGCTAATAAAAAATCAAAGAAGTATGAGAAGTCCTTCTGCTTGTAGATTTTACATGTATAGCTAATATCCCCCAATAAATACCATGTACTTTTCTACAGTAGACCATATGTACAATTCATGTACCTGCTTATTAATGGTTTTGATTTGGTTTTCTCACTTATGAAAATGTTTTAGGTTCTTGCTGTGAAGAAGATAGATTCATCTGTCCTTCCCAATGATTTGTCTGAAGATTTTGTAGAATTAGTTTCAAACATATCCCATTTGCATCATCCGAATGTGACAGAGCTTGCAGGTTATTGTTCAGAGCATGGACAGCATCTACTAGTCTATGAATTTCATAAAAATGGATCACTGCATGACTTCCTTCACCTACTTGATGACTATAGTAAACCATTGATATGGAATTCACGTGTGAAGATTGCTTTGGGGATTGCACGTGCTTTAGAGTAAGTTGTTTGTTAATGTAAATAGAAGATCTTGATATTGCATTTACAGACTCTTGTCCAGTTGGTTTTATAGACTCTAATATCTTGACAAGAACTAGTTATTCTAAAAGCTGAAGTTGTTATGTGAAATGTTATTAGTGGTTTTATATCTAACAATAACTAAATCTAATATTCAAATTTGAAAATTAAAAAATAGGATAAAGTAGTTTGGGATTATACAATTTAGATTTGATGCAATATCATGTATAAAGTCAACATACTATCAGCAATAAGGAATTGTGACTTTGAAACTAAGGACCTTACTATTAATAGACATTTAAATAGATCTAGTAGTATAACATAAAATTGGGTTTCAAGCATCAATGTAAATTCTTGCCCTGAGAATCAACAACCTAACTCTGTTTGCTTTTTTCCTAGGTACCTCCATGAAGTATGTTCACCATCAGTTGTTCATAAGAATATAAAGTCATCCAACATATTGCTTGATGCAGATCTTAATCCTCATCTTTCCGACAGTGGATTGGCAAACTATATTCCAAATGCAAACCAGGTGATTTTTGTGTTTTGGAACATTATGGCTTTTGCTATGAATTAATGTGTTTATAATTGGATATGATGGTGTTTGGCCAGAGTAGTTTAGTCTTCTTTTGCTACTTTTCTATGTATTTTTATGTTTAACTACTCATTCTCATTTTCAGTTTTGAAGTAATTGTTCTTACTTTAGACTCTCATTCTTTAGTTGATATTGCCATATATGTTTGAGTTTATAACAATTAGGGAAAG